GGGGGGGGGGGGGAAGATAAAAGGACCAAGTTGGTTTTGAAGCATGGTGAATTATTGGGGATGTGAAAAGAAGACTTGTAACCCACTTACCAAACTCATTCAATTCACACACATTTACTCCACTTCAATTTTCTTTAATATTATTATTATTATTTATTTTATTTTTTTAAAACATGGACCCAAAAGATAAAATATAAAGTTCAACTTTTTATGAGATACAAAAATAGCATAACAAAGAGTAAAAAACAATCAAATGGTTTTTAGTCTAGCGGTACGTGAGTCTTTAACCTCTTAAGAAAATCAAGGGTTTAAACCTCACCAAATAAAAAATAATGTATGAATTTATTTGTTGTATATAAATATTACATACTTCAAAAAAAATAGTAAAAAGCAAGCCCACAAAGAGACCTTCTAGAACAGCGAAATAAAAACAAAACTACATTGAGAAAAAGTGAAAATTCTCTAAGTCAAATTAACAATAAAGACTACTACGTACACGACAATGAACATAAAACTATTGTTTATGAAATAATATATTAAAAATTTATTTTGTTGATTTTTAATTAACCATGATATGATATGATATGATATTAATTTTGATTTACAAGATTTATTGATATTGTGGTATTCAATTTGTTCCAAAAATTTAAAGGGTTTTGAGTTATTGTGTAGTTTAATTAATAATTTTAGTCGTTGATTAATTATCTAAAATATAATTTAATTAAAAAAGTTATAAACCAAATTAAAAGTATCTTGTATTAAGTTGATGGGTAAAAAGGTAAATTTATATATGTTTTTCAAGAAAAATTATTGATTCAATAATAACGACTTAATAATCTGAGAACTCCATATACGATGATAATTATAAAAACTTTTATTTTAAGATATTGTTTGAGATGATTTTTTTCTTGATTTAAGACTAGCATTTAATGTATTGATGAACATATTTGTTTCATAATATGTTTACTTCATATGTATTCAATTAACATGGGAATTCTTTTACGTGTAACTTTTGTTTCACAAACAAGTTTGAAAAGTTCACATTTTGAAACAAATATATGTTAAATCGATATTTTTAAATCCTAGTCCTAGATTGAAAAAATCATATAAAATAACACATGATACACTATTCTCAAAGTTATCATAATTTAATGGGTTCTCAAAAAATGATCTCTCTCTATATATATACGTACACATAGAAATGCATATTAAAACTCGGATTTGGGATCAAAATCAGGGAAGAAGGTATCGTCATTTTGGATTTATAAATCCAGAATTCTGCATCTCCAGTCAAACCAGAGTCGGTATTAAATTCCTCTTTAAGTACTGAATTTTTTGCCATCACTAGTTTCAAAATGAGATAATAAGATTTATAATTTTATAAAAAATGTTCTAATGTAAGTGAGAGTTAGGTTCACGTGAGACAAAGTTGTTTTCACGAGACACATGAGACAATTTTTTTACACTTGAAATTTCACAGCAAAATCTTGTGGAGGTAATAAAAAGAAGCCGAACCTTCACAGCAAAACACTGTGAAGGTTACCTTCACAACATTTTGCTGTGAAGGTTACCTTCATAGCATTTTGCTGTCAAGTTTCAAGTATAAAAAGTTGTCTTGTTTATACCACGAAAACAATCTTATCTCATATGACTCCAAGTCGTGTAATTGATCATATAACTATTTAATCTATACTATATCATAAAATATTTAACAAAAACTCTTAAAAATCATTTTTTATGTACAAAGTACTGTTTATTAATAGATATTACTTAAAATTCAAGATTAGAAGTAAGTTGTGCGTAAGTACAATTTATTAAAACTCTATGTTTGAATTCATGTAACTAATTGCAGATAAGCATAATCAAATACATGATAAACATCTCATTCTAAATATAAAAAATCTTCAATATAATTAAGATAATCATTGAGTTTTAACAGAATACTTAATGATTATCTTTATAAATTTATACTATTAAACCTAAATTAAATTACTTTGTTACATTAAATTAAATCATAATAAAAATTTTAAATTAAAGAAATTACAAAAAAAAAAAAACTAGAGCTTTTAAATAGTTAATTTCATACTAATATTGATATATTTTTTTTCAAATTATTATGATATTTTCAAATTTATATCATATTCAAAAATAAAAACATTATCGCTTTCTCAAAATCATATAAAACCGTATTATATCAAACATAGATAAAAATAAATAAAACAAAACATTAAAATTAAAATGTGTCTTAATGCATTGCACGAATACCCTTATAATATTATATAAATATATTCTTTAAATTGCAAATCTTAGACGTTGAATAATTTTAGAAATTTATGGCAGTCAAAGTAATTAATAATAACAATAAAAAAAAATCAATTTATGTTTTTTCTAGAAAGATTCTTTTGATTACGGGGACCAAATAAAAAGGCAACCGAATCATTGTCCAAAATGTCCATAACGTACATTACAATATAAAATACATGCATTTTTAATATATATTATTAATTTATTTTAATATGATAATTTTTATGATCATATTTTATTAATTAATTAAAAAAATATAATATATTTAAACCGTTTTGGGTTATTACTCAACTTCATGTACAAGTTATAATATAATTGAATCGGTTTAAATATGTAGTTGTAAATTGAATCAATCGATATTTGACCCGTTAAATCATAACTTATAATCATTTATATCAGTTTGATGACTATGTTGTATATTTAGGGTATGTTTTTTAACAGCTTAATAAGTTTTAACAACTTATTCATCAATTATACATGACTGTCTGGTAGTACCTTAAAGTTTTTTTCCAAACCTGTCTCTTCCAATTAAAAAACTCTTAAAAAAAAAAAAAAAAAAAAACTTCATAATTTATATAAACAATTTTATCCATACATAATTTAATGAAAAACCAATAAAAAAAGGTCTATGTTTTCAACTGTTAGTAAAATTTAAATGGATCTAAAATATTAAAAAAAAAATAATATATGTTAATAAATAATAATTATTGGTGTTGCTAAAAGTAAAGACAAATTTTCATCAAATAATTTTCAAAATTTATTGATTTATAACCACAAATTTTTTCCAATACTTTTTGGTACCTTTTATTTCACATGTTTGAAAAAGGATCACTTAAAATGTGGTTGCGAAAACTCGATTTTTTTTTGCTCACCCATGTATCTAATGATAATATTTAAGGATAATTATATGAAAAAATAACATATTTTAAGTTGATTTTTTATTTTAAGTAACGTATTTTTAGAACTTTTATTTTGATATCTAAGATGTAAAATTTTAAAAATTTAAGTACCCATTAACTTGGTTGAAGACTAAGTTTAGATTAAAGAAATATATGTCACTAACTACGTCAACAAATAATACCATATCATTCATCTCAATAGCACGATAATCGGTTAATGTTTCAAACGGTTATCCGAGTACTTAAATATTTAAAACTTTATATCTTAGGTATCAAAATGTAAGTTAAACTACATTACTTTTTTCATGCAATTTTGCCCTATATTTAATGGAAAATGTTTAGATAAAGATATAATTTTACCATAGTCAATCATATGTGATACTGTATTTTGTCACAATTATAGTCAATCATATGTGATACTGTATTTTGTCACAATAAATCTTTCTTAGAGAACCCATGAAATTGTAATAACCTTGAGAATAGTGCATCATGTGTTTTTTCATATGATTTTTTTTTCCATCTAAAATTAGGATTTAAAATATCGATTAAGATATAGTTATTTCATAATGCGTTTGTTTCATAATGTAAACCTTCTTAGTCTGTTTGTGAAACAAAAGTTACATTGTGAACTGTATACATATGAAACAAAGCATTGTAAAACAAATATATGTTCATAAAATATATTAAATGTTAGCCTTACATGAGAAAAAATCATTTGGAACAATACCTTGAGATAAAACGGTTATCACAATATATGAAATTCTCAAATAATTAAATCCCTTCCAACATATGATATACATTGGAGAGCTTTTGGGCGGGAGCTAGGTTGCGAGCCAAGTCGCCCGTACACCAATGCTACCTCTCACGTGTATTATCACATGTGATACAATAATCCATCAAATGTACATGTGATACTAAATCCCAGACGTAATTGACTTTTGCCTCGACCTAGGTCGCACGACACATCGTCCGGACACGACCAGGTCCACTGACGTGCATTTATCACATTTTCTTTAAATAAAGGTGTTCTCATTTAAACTTCACTTATATTTAACTATTAATTGAATATTTAATTTTTTTTTCAATATATAGATAAAATATTATAATATTTTTGTAATTGCTAATATAATATGTAAATTTATTTTTATAATCAATTTTTTTAATTATAAAAGAGCTTTTATATCAATTAATTGTTTTTATTTTATTATTAGACAATTTTGATATTCGATCATTTAATCCCAAAAAATTATTTTTCAATAAAAAGGATACTAAATTACACAAGAAAATGCGAGTACAAAAAACAAAGGTACAACGCAACTCACAAAGAGAAAGAGGACACAACAAGAATAAACGAGGGCATCAACGTCTTTTCACATCTTCTAGTACTCGGACGATGGCAACGACTCATGAGAGCGGTTAATGAAGATGAGCTCATATATGGCGCCAGCGAGCCCCCCACCGATGAGTGGTCCAGCCCAGTAAATCCAATGGCTTCCCCAGTCCCAGCTAACCACGGCTGGCCCGAAGGCAACGGCTGGGTTCATTGATGCACCGGTGAATGCACCACCAGCTAAAATGTTGGCTGCCACCACTAAACCAATCGCCAATGGTGCGATTGTACCGATATCGCCCTTTTTCGGGTCAATAGCGGTGGCGTACACTGTGTACACGAGGCCAAAAGTCATCACGATCTCGAACACGAAGGCGCTCCATACCGATAGTCCGGCGGCCAACGAGAAGCCGGTTGTTGCCTGTATTTTCAAAGAATAAAAAAATATTTCTCAGCTAATTTTGTAAGATCACGTGAAACTCCATCAGATTAACCCATAAAAAAACTATAATATTCCATCATTATATGATGAGAATAAGTCCAACTGAAGTTGGACTCTAACAGGCCTTCTCCAACATATGTTCCATCAGTCAGTGGCTTAGGCTAGTGGTGGGTCCCGAATCGAATAAGAACTCATTTTGTATTTGGACAAAGTCATTTCACCCCTTTACGAATTGATTTACAATATTGTGTAACAAATAAAATGTGTTATTTATCGTTTTAAAATTTTAACCCTAATTTTGTTTGCATTATAATACTCCTTGGTATATTTTTATCCTTATAATTGTAAAAAGTGATCGACGAGCTTACCAAACCACCGGTGGAGAAAAATAGAAGCAGGCAAGCAACAACTGAGCCAAGGAGCTGTGCGATGATGTAAAAGATCCCACGGAGCAAGGTGATGTTACCGCCGATGAACGCACCGAAGGTGACGGCAGGGTTGACATGGCCACCGGAGATATTAGCACCGACTGACACCGCCACAAACAACCCAAAACCATGGGCAAGCGACGCCGCAACTAGACCGGCCGGAGAGGTCGGAGCACCGCCGGTGATCTTGGTGAAAGCCATGCCGGAACCCTGGCCGGCGAACACGAAAATGAGTGTGCTTATGAACTCCGCCACAAAAGCTTTAATGGCGCTAGGATGTCTCACTTCCTCGTGGTAGTTACCGATGGCAACCCGGTCGACCATTCCAGACATCGGCATTGTTGATCGGAAAATCAAGAAGTGGGTGATCGGAAAATCAGTGTTTAATAACAGTCGAGTCACAGCATATGATGCATGGGTGACCGGCGGTTTATATTGATGAGGTATGGAGTTTGGGCACCGGGTGTAACCGGTTGCCGGTGATGTTTTTGTTGAGCCTGGATGTAATAATTAATCGTGCGGTTATTTGCTATGAAGGTCATAAAGTTTACCTTAATACAATTTTAGTCCCTAAGTTTATATATATATATATATAGGGGTGTTATTATACACYCTCTACCATTCATACAACCTATGCAACCTTAATCTAAACCATTCATTTTTTAATCAATGATCCAGATTAAATTCATGGCATAATTGTAATAAAATTAAAGTTGGGAAACACGTGTTGCATATATTGAGGGCAAATAAGGGTAAAATTGGAATTGGGGATTTCATCTATTCGAAGAAAGGATGCTAAGAGATTACGAACGCGAGAATCACTCTCGGTTGTATTACATNGGTTGTATTACATATGAATTTACGTGATGCATCTGGTTTCATCAAATCTTGTTTATGCAGATTATGAACAACTTCTTCCATATGAATTTACGTGATGCATCTRRTTTCATCTTCCAGGTTTATGCAGATTATGAACAACTTATTCCATAACCAAATACGTGATGAATATGGTTTCATTGTTCTGTATTATGCAGGTTATGAAGAAGTTMTTCCARAYGYATCTTYGTGCAATCAAATACACAATTAACCATAACAAAACATATCTTGCAGATTTTTTAATAATCTGCATTATGAATAAGAAACATACATCGTCTTTCGGGTTTCATTACATATTTACATTAATCCTTATGACTAATCTGCATTTGATTACTATAACAAAACAGATTTTTGACACCACATCACCTTTCGGGTTTCATTACAGATTTACATATCTTGCACCACTTACTATAACAAAACAGTACCTTCATTTTCATTACTCAAGGACGGAACATCATCATCGTCAAAGTCAGCAGAAACTCCGTCCGTAATCGAGTCACTACGCTCAGGTATTGTTTCATTTTGACGAATGCACCCATCATCATCCCTAGCTGAGTAATTGCATTTATCTTGTGTTGTACCATTATTAGTACCGTTACGTTTACCGTTAATGCCATCCATTTCATCAAAAATATCCTTGACGAATGTCTCGTTGAAGGAGATGGGATCCATAGGATTATGATGAAATATTATTCTAAAAAATGCTTCCATCGATTCATCATTATTGTTAATAGAAAAATAATATTTAGTAATGTTTTAATTACCATATCAGTTTCAGTTATTAATAGAAAATATATGGATTCATAATTAATAGGATATTTATTGATATTGTTTTAAAATAATAATTATTATATAAAATTAGCAAATGACAATATTAACCTTTTCATTTAAAAAATAAATTAAAACAAACAAAATTCATTGATTGGTTGAGAGGGAGGTTGCATGGGTTGTATAAATAGGGAGAGTTGTAAAAGAAATATACCATATATATATATATATGTTTAGAAGTTCAAGTTCTATTTGTTTTTGGTAATTGACATTGTCATACATTTTACTTTTATATGATTTTGATGGTAATTTAATTTATGACAACTTGGTAGCTTGGTATAAAAATAACTGATTTTAAATTGAAAAATATAAAATGAACTGGATGTCAAAAGCTCAAAGCCAATATCTTATAATAAAAAGGATTGGATATGCCGTTATAAATTGTATTTTATATTGATTACAAAATTATAAATTGGAGACATATACATAACCGTGTAAGGGGTTGTTTGGTAATTGCTGAATGGTTTGATGCAGAATGATTAAATAAAGAAAATGATTAAGAGTCTCTCATGAGATAGTACAATATGAAATATAATTGTTCAGTAATTGTTTACAATGGAATCAGAACGCTGAATGATTAATGAAGGCACATGATACAAAATCATTCAGAAAATTTTAGAATCATTAAGAGACGGATTTTTTGTTTGTCAAACAAGTTTTACCTCTTAATGAAACTATTAAAAGGTAACAAACAATTGATAAACATTATGTTGTAAGTTTTTACTATCAGCAATTGTTTTGGTAAATAATGACAACAAGAGACAACTTGAGGGGCTTCTATGCAATTAATAGAAAATAGAGATGATGGCAAAGGTGTGGTGGATCGTATGGGATGGGAACGGAGTGGGGGGCCATCCTAATCCAATGTGACAGCTAAGCTTCACCTCCAAAACAGTATGAGACTGACACGTGTACATAATGGATAGAACCCATGTCGTCTTGTCTGAAACATTGATTTCGCCACCGGAGAATCTGATTTGTCACTCCGTCACACCATACTCGTGGTCGGCGGTGATCGCCGGAGCTCTGCTTCCAGCACACAAATTCAACCCTAAACAAGGAACCGGGTTTATTTTTAGGACATTTAACGAATAAATGATTAAAACAATCAGATTTATAAAGTTAAGGGGTGTTTGAGATTGCTTATAAAAACAATTTATTAACTTATTCTGTTGTGACACCGGTAATATACACTTTTGAGTGTTTGGATAAATAACTTCTACTAATGTCAAACCGGTTATAATAAGGTTTTGAAGAAGTTAAACCTTCTAACTTGTAATAAGTTGATAGTAACTTTTATATAAAACTTAGGTTTTTAACAATTTTCTCAAAGATCATAGCATCTCTATTTATGGATTTTTGCTACAACAGATTTTTCAAAATGAAAAAAGTATGAAGAGAATGAAATTCTTCAAATTTGGAGATTTCCTTAAAATGATATTCTTAAGAAATAAATGATTAACCACGAGGGTGGTGTCTGATTGGTTTGAGTTTGACTCCAAATGTCAAAAGTACCATGAGGTTCCAAGTTCAAATTCAAGGAGGAATAAAAATCCCCTTGTGGCCACGGAGGTTCAAATGCGGTGACTCCGGGCTATCTGCAAAGTATATGGTCGCCTTGTGATTAGTCGGCTCGCATAGCGGGTTGAATATCCAGGTTAATAAAAAAAATGATTTTTTTATTCATTCTACCAATGAAATTCTTTAAATTTAAATGTTTGGAAGAGTGAAATAATATTTTACGATTCGTATTGAATATTTTAAAAATAAAAATGATTGTGTAACCTCTAAAATAGAAAATCTGTTGGAGATTAATATAATTTTTTTTACAAATTTTAACTTTTTGCTTTTTAATTTTAAAAAAAGATGTTCAAGATTATCTTAGGCATTTTCTTAATTATTCTCCAGACCTTTGGAATTCGTTTAACTATGTGAAAATTGACAGGGACGCCTATAATTAATGTGATGGAAAATACTTCCTATTATTTGAAAACTCGTTACATAATTGTATAGAGAGTTATAAGACGTCTGAAAGCAAAATAAAAACGATGTTTGTTTTTAATATATTATTTTTTTTAAAATAATATTACATAAACTATAGATAATAACCATGCACACACTTTATTAAATATATTAATGGGTCATTTTCAATACAACAAGTATCACATGTGAATATATGATTTAGTGATTAAGACGCAATATTTTGCTTTCGTCCTATACATATAAATGATTTTCTTTAGTTGTCTTTTTAAACCTAATTCTTATATTAAATAAAAATTGAAACAATCATCGGTGCTCACAAAACGAAAGAGAATTTATAAACGAAAAATAATTATATCATAAATTATATATATGTGTGTGTATATATATATATATATATATATATATAAGTGTATATAT